GGAGGTTGAGGCAGGAGGATAAGAGTCAGTTTGGGGCCAGCCTAGGTTACACAATCAGTTCAAAGCCAACTCCAACTACATAATGAGTGCGACCTTGTCTCAAAAAAAGTTATGATTGCTGTTTTTTTTTTTAAAGAAAAATTCTACTGTTGCTGAGAAAGAGAGAGCTCAAGCAGGGGAACCCTAGTTTAAGGTGATGGCAATCATTCATCCATTCCTGCTTCCATTCCTGCATTCATTCATTGATTCATTCACTCATTCATCCTACAATTATTTATTAAAGCTCCTGCTGAGAGCCAGGCATTGTGCCTGTGCTGGAGCAGGGGTAGGGTTGGATATGATGGGTAAGATGTGATGCAAGAGAGGGGAGTGCAGTGAAGACAGACTGCAGTGGGATGAGCAGCGCGACAGACAGGAGACAGCATCAGCCAGCACGCTGCAGTCTCTCATCTGGGCAACTTGGAGGACAGTGACACATCCATTGATAAAGGGCAAGTATAGTGGGTAATGTGCTGAGTTTTCTTGGGGACATGTGGAGGTGAGACGGCTGCCTTTCAGACGTCTGGCAGGCTCCTGGAATGTGGAGCTTCTCATCTTTGGAGCCATGGCCTGTAACGTAGCTTAGCTACACTGAGTACCTGAAGTAAGGAGAATTTGTGGTACTTCCCAAGGACTGTGAGTAGAAAAGAGGGCCAAAGACAATCCTGGAGAAGGAAGAGCAAGGGCAGGCAAACGAAGGACAAACAGACAGATCAGAAAACAGTACAGATATGTACAAGAGGCAGCAGGCATGAAATGAGCAGAAAGTTTAAGGGAGCAAGGGAACCGTGCCTACTGTGGAAGGAGCTGAAGTGTGGTAAGAACTGGGACCACAGGGAGTGGGAGGTTTCTCATGGGACAGCCTCTGTTGTTACGGAGGTAAAGCAGGTTGTCCATTGAGGCTAAAAGGGCCTTGAAATAGGACGGGGATCTGGACGGGGATCTCCAGGAGAATGGTCAGCCTGGGGAGGGATTCTTACTGGTAAGATGAGGGAGAGTTTGCTAAGCGGTGCTGGGCCTTACACACGTGCATGAGCCCGAGCTAGCCTGCTGGGGTGGTTCTCTCCTGAAGTGACCAGCATCTCAAGAGCAGGGACAATGCATGTCATTGTGCAGGCCTGAGGGCAGGGGTGGGCCAGCAGGGGTGGGAGACAGGAGTGGAGGATGCTCTGGAGAGTGTTGCCCTGGAGGCAGAAGATTAACAGGTTCGGCAGGCATTCATGCTGTTCTCCAGGTTTCTGAATTGGAGAAGCCTGTTCACTTGCTAATCAGATTCTATCTTGCTACCTGCTGAAATAGACTAAGGACAAACTTTGCCTGTACATGAAGCTACCAGGCTGTCGGGGCTGCAGGAGGCCATCCGGGACACTGGTTGGGATGATGGTGAACTCTCACGGCTGCCGGTACTTTCTAGAACAGTGCAGTACTCTCATATTGCTGATTTCCCAGTGAGATTTTTTTTTTTAACATATTCAAGCCATTTATAACGTTTACTTTTTTAAAAATACATTTAAAATTTTCCCTCTGCAATAAATTTCTCATTCATATTTCCTTGTCTTCTCTTTAATGTTCAGTTCAGAGATGTCAATAACATTGGTCCAAACTTGTGAGTAGATGTTGTAGAATCGGCATGGCCTAGATATCTTGAAGGAAAGGGCTTTATTTATTTTTTAATGCTGAAACACCGACCCTTGAATTTTCATTCTCAAAATGCAGATGAGCCCAGAGTGCCTGGTCCAATGCCGATCTCCCTTGTAATGATGGAGTTTCTGTACTGGTGACTACATGTAGGACTCAGAGGTACCAGTGGTATACCTGGGGTGCAATGGCAGTGCGGGGGAGCACTACAGATCTCCATCCAGAGTCTGGGCACTTATTTCCATCAGCTACTACTGAGAGATTATACTCCCCTGTGCTAACAATAAGTTAATTCAAGTTCTATTTAGCTGGAATCCAAGAGCTCAGATGAGAGTGAAGTTCTTTAAGAAAGGCCATTGCTAGGAAGGCACCAGACTTGGCCTGTCTCCTGAGAACACCATCGCTCATCACAAGGAAGCAAGTGACCAAGCCGGGTTCATCAAGTTCCAGAGCCCAAAACATGGAGGAGGGGCTATTTTTTATTGACATGAACAGGAACGTTAATCTCCAGGATCTTCTCTCATAAAGAAATCCTTTGAGATTTATAAAATCAGACCACAGTAAGATATTTGGGCACCTTCCAAAGCAATAGGGACTTAACCAGATAAAATCATTGAAAAATATTTCGAAGATTGCAAAACTGTCTGGCCTTGGGTGATGCTACTTCCAATAATGAAAGATTTCTTTTGAGAAACATTTCCCAATAATATATATATATTGCATATCACATAGTAAAGCAATAGATTCTTATTAAAATAAAACACTTTTTATACATTAATTTTTATCAGTTTGCCTGTGACACCAGGGCTCTTACTGTCTTTATTATACCAAAAGAAACCCTGAGACACAGAGGGGTTAAGTACCTTATCCAAGGTCAGATAGCTAGTAGTTGGTAGAATACTGTTTGGCTGTTCTATTTTTCTAGCTGTCCCTGTCCAGAGGGACCTTGATAATAATCAAAGAGCCTAGGAGAGCAACAGTATAGTAGATGTTCTGGTGTTCTGCTTTGCACCATCTCTCCTCAACCCATTCTTTAAGAAGCACTGCAAGGTGTTTGTTTTCCCTTCAAAATTCTGAATTTGAAAATGTGTTTGTTTTTTAATCACCATTCTCCTTGATATGTTTTTTTTTAAATCCACAGAACAAATGGTTGAGTAGCCTTAAATACTTAAAACTATATTTAACTCCTGGAGCAGCTGCAGTGGGAATCTGTTTAACATCTTGGTCGTGTTAGTCTGGTGGACAGTACTAATTGACTCGAGACTTGCACATCTCCCGGGTCTGTCCCTGAACACATGTGTTCTTGTCTGTCTCAAGTCATTTCTTTGCGGAAGTTCCTGCCACATGGTCCCCATCCTGGCTGGGCTTCTCATTTGTCCATTTGTTGTCTCTCTTCACACTGTTATTTGAGGCCATCTTTTCCTCCTTTTCAACTCCAGGCCTCTGTGTATCTGTGGTCTTATTTCAGTTCAATTCTACCCACAGACCTGAGTTCCTTGCCTGTGTGCTGAATGTTTGTGCTTCAGAGATGCAATGAAGAGAAGCCCCTGTCCCTGAGAGGCTCACTGCCATCTCCCCTGCCTGCCCTGCTCTGGAAGAATGAAAATGTGGGGGAGAGAAGATACCATGGGTGCTGAGCAGTGGGCACTTTAAACTCACTGGGTGTTATGGGGCATGGTTGGGTTCACATGTAGGCAGGGCATAGGTAAGAATTTGAGGTGTCAGAGGTAATGTTTTATTCTGTACTTGGATATTGTTTTATTTGGGCCTTTTGCAGACTAGCAGTCAAGGAAGAGAAATAGACAGCCTGGCATCCATCTATCTATCTATCTATCTATCTATCTATCTATCTATCTATCTATCTATCTATCTACCTACCTATCCTCTGGGCATGGAAGGATGTCATAGGGTAGCTTATTCTAGGCCCCAAGCTACCTGAGGGGACACTAGCAGCAGCAACATGGTAGTTCAGATGAGAGTGCCCTGGAGGAGGCAGGTGCTTATTGATGTAGCTAACATGCTTCCGCCAGGGGTAGGGACACTCAAAGTGTGTCCAGTGAATGTTAGCTAAAATTGATGAAATAAAGGTGGGTGCCTCTCTTTACGGTTGACAGTAGAGGCCTGAGGCACTCCCTCTGGTGGACAGATGAGGTGGTGTTGGATCTAGAGGGTCCCTTTCAGCTTCCTGTGCTTAGAGGCATGGCTTGTGGAAGGTGATGGGATTATGGGGTCTGTAGAGATGGCTTGTTATTGCATGGGAGAGGTTTAGTTTAAGGTGGGTTATTGGGGATATGACCAGGATGAGTATGCCTCTATCCCAGCTCCTTGCTCCTCTCTTTGTGTCCTTGCTATCATGACCTGAGCAGCTTACCTTCCTGAAAGGTCCCTCTACCATACCACTGCAGAGTGTAACTGTGAGCAAACTGCTCCTCCTTCCGGTACTTTTCCTAGCCATGATAAAAGTGACTAAGGTGGTCTTAGAAGAGCATCAGTTCAGTCAGGGTGCTTTAGCAAGTATCTGTGTGCGTGTCCATGCATGTGTATCACATATAGACATACAAGTGTTGTATATTTATGACATGCTGAGTAGCACTTTGTGACAGCAGGTAGGTATTGTGAACTTCCCCTTTTACGGTTTGTGTCTGTTTGATCCCTCAAAGCCTCATGCTGTCATTGGGGCAGGCTTCTAGAGTTTGTGATTAATTCATGATCCAATGCTGGGATTATGGGTGTGAGTGTTACATCCACCCTGGGACAGAGAGCCTGAATACAATATAAGGAAGAGAGAGGCTTGCTGGCTGCTACAGCCGCTGCTCTTCCCTTTTTGCTCTTGCTCTTTGCTGTTTTCCACTGTCATGAACTGCTGCCTTCTGCCATGTGCCACTCTGCCTTGGAGCCAGCTGAGTATGGACTGAAACCTCCACACACTGTGAGCTAAATAGACCTTTCCTTCCTTGATTTTGGGTGATGGGTATTTTGACCAGGCAATGAGAGCAAAGTAATTGAGATATCCCCTATGCATCAGACCTAGGTCAGCCTCTCAAGTTGTCCTTCCCCAAATGGCTTTTATGTGTATAATTACAGTGCCGTAATTGATGGTACCCTAGAGCTCCATGGTGTTTATGTGCAGCCTCACACCCTAATGCACACTGCTAATGACACACAGTGGCCAATGCTAGTTTGTGCCCATTTTGTATATACAATGTAAACAAAATGACAATTTGTCTTTCACTGAGATAGCTCTCACACCTTTTCCTCGAATGAGTGGTCCTACACACTTCCTGTCCCCCTTTCCTTGCACATCCCAGAGTCGGGGGACTTACCACGGTGCAGCAGAGGGGCCAGAACCACCAGAGCAGTGCCAGGGCCAGGAGGAGGAACAGGATGAGCAGGGCGATCGCCAGGATGGAGCCATCTGACTGTGGGTGGAGAGAGGTGGTCAGCAGCGGTAGTGAACTGACCATGCCCAGGTTTCCCTCCCCAGCTCTCACCAATAGCCTGACTAAAGATCAGTTTGCCAAATGCATGGGAAGCTCTGGCCATCACAATGGGCTAATGGGCCCATGAACTCTGTTTAGCCAATTTTCAAGGGAAATAGATTCGCCTTTTCTGGGAGGCCCAGTTCTTCCCTTCGAGGACAGTTCTGAAAGACTTCCCGTATACAAAACAGAGAGCAGGCTCGAAGATGGCAGGCCTGCCTTTCTGCTTGGAGAGCTTGGTCTCTCTCTTGGTGACAACCTCCCGCTCACAGTGCTGGATACTCTGTCCAGAATCTACACTGATTCAGGAGAACCCTAATCAGGATTCAGCCTGCTTCTCCAGCACATTTCCCTTGGGCGCATGTAACAGACTCCAGCCAAAAGCCCTGCTGGAATCTCAGGGAAGGGGCAGGATCAGCACTTCTGAACCTGAGATGGGAGGGTGTGGTGGCCGAATGAGCACAGCAGTCAGATCAGGTGGCTGTGTGCAAGCCATGAAGGGAGGCGCCCAAGACCAATTTTACAGGTTTCCAAAAGTGCTTAGGCTAGCCCTGAAAAGAGACAAGGTTGCTGTGGCCTGAGACAGTTGTTATATTTTAGCAAAAGGAAGTCTGTTGGGTAACAGCAATCCACGCTTGCTGATTGAAGCAAACCAGTTGAGAACCCGGATCCAAGTGTCCACCCACCTCCCTCCAAGTGACCGGGAGCACAGATGGACACAGCCTTCCGAAGGGCATGGTTACTATGAGTATAGAAGGCCCCCTTTTGTGTGAAACTCTGGAAGCTGCACTTTTAGCTGAAGAAAATAAGAATATTTGCACAGCTAAGGATACTAATGCACAAGGAAAACAGCACAAATGTTCAACAGTTAGGGAAAGCCACATGGTGTGTAATGGGATCGCCATGCAATTAATCTCTATGTTTATATTATAGTGTCAAATCATACTTAGAAGATGTGGGAAAGCATTCCTGGTATAATGGGTGATTCTGTATATGCGCAAGAGTGGGAAGACAGAAAAATGTCTTCTCTGATATTCACTAAAGCTTTTTTAAAAACTGATATTTACTAAAATATTAATACAGTTAGTGATGTATGGTAATTCACTTTAAAAATACACATCTCTTTTAACATTTCATAATGAGGAAATAAACTATGAGGTTGTTCTTTAAAGATTTCCACATGGAGTTCCTCTTGGGGAATAGTCTGGGGCTCAGGGATTCTCATTCAGGTCAGGGAATTTCTGGGTTTTACAGGTGGGTTCAAGTGGAGAAAAAGCTTGTGGCCCTTTGTAAATGACACCCACAATCTTCAGTGTTGTTAAGAAGACTATAGATAGACCAGTGTTGTTAGGGAGATCATGGAAGCCCAAAAAACACCAGGTTCTTGTGCACATCCTCTAGCCCCACTGCCCTTACAGAGGGAGGCTGGGTGGCCGGTCCCCCACTATACAGCAGGTCAGTGTCAGAACTGGGGCATGACGCACTCTGAGCTCTCGGCAAAGAATACTGGAAGTGGTTTAAAGGCAGCTCTTAATCCTTAGAACTCCCTAGAATGTCTTTGACCCCAAAGTCAGGGAACTAATCACTCTTGGCCACCAAACAAGAACTAAGGCTTAGGAATGCCCAATGACTGTCAAGGGGATGCAGCCCCCAAGTGCAGGTGCAGGGCTGGGCAGCCCAAGACAGTGGGTGGGACGACCCAGGCTGCAGGATCCTGAACAGACCCAGAATGCAGACCCTGCGAGTGAGTGAGACAACCTGGGGCCCTCCAGATCCTGAATAGACCCAGAGCGCAGGCTCTGCGAGTGAGTGAGATGACCGAGGCCGCGGGATCCTGAATAGACCTGGAGCGCAGGCCCAGCACAGAACCCTTCAGCAGAACTCCCTGCAAAGAGGCTAGAGGCAAGAACCACCCAGCTGATTCAGGAGCAGAACATCTTCCCAGAGAGACACAAAGGGTTGAACTCTAACGGCTGCAGCAGAAAGAAGTGGAACACAGCAACCAGATCCAAACAACACCCACCTGGAGGAATCTGAACTTTGTAGATCCGGACCTGGTGCTAAGGTAATAACTCT